ACTATGGTCGAAGAGCTCATGGCTTTCAAAGACAAGCTCGATGTGTTTGGTTGGTGTTTTCGCTATCTATCTTGTAGGGCAGACTTGCGATTTCAACGTGAAACTTAATGCAGTAAGACTATACATACTCAGTAATACTTTATAAATTTATTTATGGATGTATTTCTTTCAGTGGAAAAATGTTTCGGCAACGAGGACGAAAGGATGAAGTTCGCACAGGCCGAAAAGGATGCCTTCGACTATTTCATCAACACGCGCGGCAACAAACCTGCAGAACTGATTGGTAAGGGGATTTTTCTTAGAAAAAAAGCTAAATTTTCCACAAATTTAGCCAAATACATGGATGCGAGATTACGCAGCGCTAATAAGGAAGCATCTGATGAACAATTAGATCAGCTTATGAACAAAGTGATAACGTTGTTCCGATTCATTCAAGGTTTGTGACTAGTTGAGCTAGCAGCTAAATTTTTCATTTTGTTTGCTGTGTGTTGGCAACGGACATATTGTTTAAGGAAAAGATGTATTCGAAGTCTTTTACAAGAAAGATCTTGCGAAACGGCTGCTTCTTGGCAGGAGTGCGTCCGTTGATGCTGAAAAGATCATGCTTAGCAAATTGAGACAAGGTAGAGACTTGTGTATTCTGTGCTCGTATTAATCTAATTTGAGCGCATTCGGCTGCACCATACCTAAAAATGGTAAAACCACGCAACTTTCAGAGTGCGGTGCTGGCTTTACCCAGAAGCTTGAGGGCATGTTCAAGGATATGGAACTGTCGAAGGATCTTGGTGTTGCCTTTAGAAATGTAGGTCAACTTGCAATTTGTTCGCATAGATTTGTTTTCATAATGCTTTTGAGTTTAGTATACTTTGCATGAAAGTTCATTGGGACGTCTTGGGGAGATTGTTGAGTGTAATGTCAATGTTTTAACAATGGGACAGTGGCCGGCTTATGAGACCGTACAGGTGAGCCAGTTTATCATATTTTGGGGAATTTCTAGCATTTGTATATGTGAGCTGATATGGTTCATGATCTCATCTTATCCCAGGTCACTTTACCGAAGCAGCTGAATGCGTGTCTGCAACTCTATGAGAAATTTTATGATTCGCGGCATACGGGTCGCAAGCTCCAGTGGCAACCACGACTTGGGCAATGCGTTCTCAAAGCGAATTTCCGACCAGGAGTAAGATTAAATTGAAGCTACACAAATTGGTCCTTAGCATCTTCCATCTATATTTAGTGCGACAAGGAGCTCAAAGTATCTTTATTCCAAGCGATAGTGCTACTTCTATTCAATGATCAACCTTCTTGGACAGCTGCAGATATTATGATGGCCACAAAATTAGGTATGTCAATC